AAGTACAGGTAAAGTGCTGCTTCACCTGGAAGGTGTGTTTGTGACATTGGATACTGAGAAGAGGAAGTAAACGAGCAGATGCTACACCTCCTGCAGTTGTAAGGGAAGGTGCCACGGGGGTTGCTGGGGGCATGCGTTGTAGGGAGTGAAGGAGGTGTGGACCAGGGTGTCCCAAAGGGATGAGTCCTTGCAGGAGGTGGACAAGGGAGGGAAGGGGAATATGTATCTGGCGGTGGCATCCTGCTGGAGGTGGCAGAAATGGCAGCTAATGTTCCCACGGATGTGGATGTTGGTGGGATGGTAGGTGAGGACAAGGTGGACCCTATCACTGCTGTGGGAGGGAAGACAGGGAGTGAGGGCAGAAGTGCAGGAGATGGGTCGGACCTGGTTGAGGGGCCCGTCAACTACAGTGCTGGGGAACCCTCGGTTGAGGAAGAAAGGGACATTTCGGAGGCCACCTCTGAAGTTGGTATCATCAGAACAGATGCAACAGAGATGGAGTGACTGGGAGAATGGAACAGAGTCTTTACAGGAAGCAGGGTGTGAGGATGTATAGTCAAGATAACTGTGGGAGTCAGTGGGTTTGTAGTGGATATTGGTAGCCAGCTTATCCCCAGAATAGAAACAGAAATGTCAAGAGAGGAAAGGGAGGAGTCAGGGATGGAACAGGGGAAGGGGAGAGCAGAATGGAAATTGGAAGCAAAAATAGATAAAAACTTTTCCAATTCTGAACGCGAGGGGAAAGCAGCACTGATGATGATATACCAAAGAAAGAGTTGTGGGTGGACGCTGGAGTAGGACTAGAACAAGAACAAGAACAAGGAATATTCCACGTAACCCACACAGTGACAGGCATATGCAGGTATCGACGGCCACCCTTCTCACTTCCTCAACATCCAAGGCCCCAAAGACACCTTCCAGGTGAAGCAGCACCTGCATTTCTCTCAATCTAGCCTAGCTACACACCAGCCTGAAATGGAACTATAAATAGTTGACACTGAAAATCCTAGAGCACACTTTGTAACAGCTCAAAGGCTGCACAACAACTGAAGGACCACAGCAATTCAAAATGCCAGCTCCCAATAGCTTCTCCTGCAATTGGGGATGGGCAATAAGTACTGCCCCCACATCTGAATGAATAAACAAAAAAACATTAGTAGTGACAGGAGGAATAGGGACAATTAGGGACCAAGAGGAGCATTTACACATGGGAGCAGGGAGCATGGTTGGAGTATTATATGCTTCGCATCTGTCCTTACAAGGGACGCAGATGCTTCCCAGGCCTCAGTGACAGGGAATTTAGCCAGTAAAAGGATTTAAAGACTGGGTTAAAGATAGGTTTGGATTAGCTGTTGGTACTTAAATTTGACCAGACACTGGGACCATATGAGATGCATCCAAAGACACTAAAGGAAGAGAAAAATGGATATTGTTGGATAAGGCTGAAGATAACAGGACCTGATAAGAGGCCTAACAATGGGCTGCTTTGTGAATGGAAGTGCGCTAAGAGTTAAAACTGCAGGCTCTATCAGATAAGGTATACATTTGGGATTGCTCACATGCACAGTTAAGTCCAAAGAAGATATACATTTGGACAAAACGTTCAGGACTGGTCACGTGCATGCATAATTCCAAGTAAGGGACATATTTGGCATAGAGACTTGTGTATAAAAAGCCTGAAGAAATTCCTTTGTTCAACAACACTTCGAATGCTAACATTGTAAGAAGGTAACCCCCCACCTCCCCATCAGGAGGTGTGGTGAAAACCTCAAGCAGTTTCAGCCTGGCCAGCTGTGAACTTTCCCAGGTAATAACATTTGGGTTTGGTTACAGAAATCAGGGTAGTGAAAGACAGTAGTTAAAAAAGTGTGTTATTCGTTTAAAACCACAATTCATTTATTAAGTGCTTACAGTGCAGACACTTACAGCTCTATATCTTTGTCCATGTTGTCTAAGTGTTGTCTCAGAGACAGGCAACACTACTGTGGAAGATAAACAGGAGGCTGGAAGAACACAGCAAGCCAGGCAGCATCTGGAGGAAAGGAACAGTCAATGTTTCAGGTATATCAGAAATATTGACTGCTCCTTTCCTCTAGATGCTGCTTGGTTTACTGCATTCTTCCAGCCTCCTGTTTGTCTATCTAGATTCCAGCATCTGCAGTTTTTTTTTTGGTCTCTTAATACTGTGGAAGCACTGGCCATCTTTTCTCTGCCTTCAGACTTAGACACTGGTGGTAAGAGGAGAAAATTGCAAACATTCTGCCCTTGTGTTCAAACATTGTGTGCAAAAAGGGAATGCAAGAATAAGACCAACCATTACTGATCAGTCAGTTTAACATTGGTGGTGGTGATGATGATGATATTTCTAGAAACAATAACTTGAAGATAATTAATTGTCACATGGAAAAATGTTGGTTGATTAGAGAGAGCCAGTACCGATTTCTTCAGTGAATATCATGTTTAAATAACTCGCTGGGATTTTATGAAGAGGTAAAAGCTCATTGAGAGCAATGTTGTTGATGTGGTGTACATGGACATCAGAAAGGTGTTCTATACAGTGTCACACATATGAGAGTATACTGCATAAGAACAAATTTCAAAGATCAGTGGCAATATGACACCCACTTGGCTGAGAGATAGGCAACAGCAATGGTCAAATCAGTTATTTTTGGAGGGGAGGAAGATTTCAGTCAAGATTCCAAGGTCAGCATTGAGGCCTTTTCTTTTCCTGATACACAGAAAAAAAAACCAAACAAATCAGGAATCTAGACCACAGTAGGGAAGGGATAATTTCAAAGTTTGCAGAGGATTTAAAAAGAAACTTAGAAGCATAATAAACTGCTGACAGCAGTGTAGAACTTCAAAACAAAAAAAAACAACAGAACATTGACAAGATGGAGTGGGCAAATAAATTTGATAAAAAAAAAAATCACAGTACGCTTTCAGGCCCTTTGGTCCATCAATTCTGCACCCACAAGACTACTCCACCTACACTAGTCCCATCTTTCAGCACTTGGCCCTTAGCCTTGAATTTTATGACATTTTCTTTTAACAATGTACCTGGATGAGCACTCAAAAAAAAAAGTTTCCTGCCTCTACTACTCTCCCACAGAGGATTCTGGAATGCACAGAGTGATAAACATTTCCTCAACTCCCCTCTAAACCTACAGCCTTTCACTGGAAAATGACACTCTCCTTCAAATAAAGGGAACAGCGGCGCTCTATCCACCCTGTTTATGCCCTTCAATCTATATACAAATCATGTACACCTTTCCTTAGCTTTCTCTAGCTATGAAGAGAGGTTGCTTCTTCAAACCAAAGTGCTCAATGCCAGTCAGTCAATCTCCTTTGCACCCACTCCACTGTAGTCATATCCTTCCTATAGAGAGTGGAAAACAGAACTACACACAGTACTCCAGCTGTGGCCTAATCAAGTTTTGTACAGCTCTAACATGATGTCCTTGCACTTTAATCTGTGTCATAACTGATAAAGGCAAATGTCCCTTATGCCTTCTTGACTGCCCGACTGCCTTCAGAGATCTGGACAAACACACCAAGATCCTGGAGTTCCTTCAAACATCCCGATACATCGAGTACGCCCCGATCTTATTACTTCTTCCAAAGTGCATCACCTCAAGAGTTAAATTCCATCGGCCACTGATCAGGCCATCTGACCAAGACATCTATCATCCTGTAATCCAAGACCATCTATTTATATAGAAGAACAAGGAATCTAAGAATTGATCCCTATGGTGTACTATTGAACTCCACTTCCAATCACAAGAATGGTAGATGAAGTGGTGTGTGAGAAGTGATATATTTAGATGGAGAATCAGCAAAAAGAGTAAAGGAAGGGTTTCGGCCTGAAGCATTGACTTTCCCGCTCCTTGGATGCTGTCTGACCAGCTGAGCTTTTCCAGCTCTGCACATTTATTGAGACTTACAATGAGAGTAAACTGGGTTAATAGTCTCAGTTTAAAAGAATGTCAGGTGATCTCACACAAACATGCAAAGATTCCGAAGGGCTTGATAGTGTAGACAGATATATCCCCTGGCTAAATAATTTAAAACAATGGAGCAGTCTCAGCGTTGAAAAAGGCTAATAATGTAGGACAAGAATGCAAAGAAATTCCTTCCCTCAAAAAGTTATGAATCGTTGTAGTTATCAAAGAGGGTTGTGGATGCTCTACCACTGGATATATTTAAGGCCAAGATAGATTTTGGTGTCAGTTAAAAATCAAGGCATATGGAAAGTGGGAGGGAAAGGAGTTTAAGCCAAAGATTAGTCATGATCATATTGACTAGAACACACTCCATGGGCTACTCCTGGTCCTTAAAGAAAAAGGGAGCTTTAAGAATACAAGATCTTGTGGTACTGCAAGTAGTGTTCCACATTCTAAAGATAAAAGCTTTGAGTTCAATTCCCACTCCAAGATTTCAGTCACAGAGGATGCATTCATAGATTGGCCAAACTGGTTGATTATTAATCTGTCAATCCTTCTAATCTGCCAATACAGGAGGCAAGAGGAGAGTGTCTCTCCTCGTCAACTATACTTAGGAAGAGGAGTGCCCCTCAAACAGCCTCTTGCAACAGGGTGGTGACCTGTTCCAGTAAAATCTAACTACGGAAACAGTCAAAATGTTTTTGTCTGTCCCCAGCATCACTAGACAAAGGGAAATCATTCAAGTTCTTTATGTTGCTCATGGTGTCAAAAATCTTACATCTGAATATCTGAGAGTTGTAAATGGACAACTGCAGATTAGACATCAATTAATCCCTTTGGCTCAAGGAAATCATCAACCAAGGCCATGCAATGCCTTCTTCAAATGGTGACAAACTCTTTAATGTTATCAGACTGTGTAGAGACATCCTGGTTGAACATCTCATCTTGGAGGGCTTACATTGGGTTCAAACAGTACTCAAGACAGTCATCGGACTTCAGGCAAGTGGCCTGAACTAAATTCATGTTAAGACTATGAAATGACATGCGTAGGCAAAGTTATTGTATTTCAGTTTATTTGATTCCATCTAGTCCTATTACAATAGAACAAAATGTCAAATAATCCTAAAACAATTAAAATCTGTCATCTCTTAAATAAGAAATCTTCCCATAGTTTAACATTTCTAGATTCTACCTATCACCCCTCCCCAAATTTTCTTTACTTTTTTTGTAGTTCCATTTTTTTTTTGCCTCACCTTTGTGCAAATTAGCAGGAGTAAAGTTCCAGGTTTTTCTCTCTCTCCCTCCCTCCAATGGCATGATATTTCACCTAGCACCATCATTAGGACCAAAATTCCTTCCTTGATTGGGTAAGGAGTACAAGTCCTTGACAAAACCAAAAATCAGTGCAGTATCTCTGTCTCCTTGGAAACAAAATATACAGTCACTGTAATGTGATGCTCCATTGTACTAAGCATCACATTTTTAGGTAAAAAACAATACACAAGGTGGAATCTCAAGTGAAGCAAACTGGACTCGGAGCCATGAACAGAAACAGACATTACCTCAATAAAGGAATGATCACATTAAGGCAAAATACTCAGATTGCAAAGTAAAGTAAAAACATATTGTGAAACAGAACATCTAAATCACTGCAAAGAGAATTTTACATTCCCAACAGAACACTAACATTCTGCACTTCCATTAGCTTGAAAGTAAATCAGCATATAATCAAGCACTTTGGAAGTCATTATGATAAAGTTACTAGTCTAAAGGATTCCCACGATTGTTGCTGCAAGTTAGTTTTGAACATTAGTGCACTTCAATTATCAATATTCTAGTGGATTGTTAATGTGGTCGCCATTGTTACACAGCCTTTGCAAATCCAACTCGATTGTTGTCCCGGTCAAACTCTGTATAGTACTGCCCAATAAAGACATCTCCAAGAATCCACATTGGACCAACTGGCGGAGGAATGTCAAGAGCCATGAATCCACTCAGGCAGACGGTCATGCCAATTTGCTTTTCCTGAAAAAAAAACAAAAAAAAAAAAAAAAAAATGTTAAAATATACCTTGAACAAAAACTATTTTTTTTCCCCCCCACAGTCCACGTTGTGCTAAAACACCCAGTAATTAAGCATTCTCTTCCTTCTCCATTAGTGTACTATGGCTACAGTGTGCCCATTTTACAGCATGTAAAAAGGGTTGGTGAGGCTCCATCAACAGTCCCTCCCCAACAGTCCGTCTCTACCACCTCGAAAAGGAGCAGCCAACATGAGAATACCAGGTTTCCTTTACACATCATTCTGACTTTGACAAAATTGTTAAGTATCAAATTCCTGTAACTTGTTTAGTACAAGACAGCAGTAGTTCAAGAGGCTATCCCTCCACGATCTTTTTTGAAAAAAAAGTGGGTAATAATTGCTGACCATATCAGTAATGCCCATATTCCAAGAACAAACATGTACAAAAAGGCCTCTAGCAAAGCCAGAACACCACCTCTGGTTGACAGCTATCTATACAGATCTGTTAGAGTGTAGGCAATAAACAGCTGCCTCAATTCAATTATCAGGTGTAGCATATTATTGTAGTTATTGTGCATCTTGTCTTTAAATAAAAACCTAGAGATACTGAAGCACAAGAATTTCTCCCATGTGGCCCCCAATGCACAGTATTCCAACCCAGGTAGCTGGTTATCTTAACATTTTGAAGAAACAGGGAAGAGACAAGCATATAGAGTGCTTATTTTTAAAATCATTTTGTAAACACATCCTAGAAGAAGAGATTCTAAATTATTAAAAAAAAAAGGTAGTGGGGCACTTGTCCATCATAATTTAGGATAGCTGTAAAAAGATTACAAACTGGGATGCTTCCTCAAAATGCCAACAGTATGCGAGTTTAAAATAAAAAGTTGTGTGTGTGTGTGTGTGTGTCTGCCTACTCCTTTCTGAGGAATCACGCAGAAGATAAAAACAGAGTACCCACCTTGAGGATATACTGCTCTCCAGTCAGAGTAAAGGTCCGCCCTCCCAGGCGGAAGTTGATGGGAGGAAGTGAGGCAACTTTATCACAATCAACTTTGTACTGTGGAAGGAAGTATATTAAAGTTATTCTTGTGATTGCTCATTGTACTGTTGATAAATTGCAAACAAAATATCAGCTACTGGATAAATAACTAATTCACATCACCATTCTCCACCAGTTACTGGCTCCAAAAGGGAGGGGGGAGAAAAGCCTTCATGGACAGTGCCCAAGTACCTGTGCTTCACGTGATTTCAGATAGCAAGTATGAACAGGCTTCTCAAATCACGGAAAGTATATAGTCAAATGTGATTCAATTATTACCCAATGTTCTAACAGACCACATGATCAAGAGCTCTGCATCATCTTTCTTTAACCTACTAGTCAAGGCACCTTTGGTCAGATTGGGGTGTGGAGTGAGATTCCTATTAGAGAAATAACTAAATTCTCACCTGGCCTTGAATAAGTGGTATAGCTCCAATGGATTTCTGTAGGGCTTGAATTTCCATAGCAGGTCCAGTGATCAAAGATGTTCCCGTGTCCACAATAGCTGAACAGCCTCCTTTACAAAGGACCAAGGTCTCACCAATAGCAATACTGTACCAAAAAAGACACCATAGCAAGATCAATAGGCCAGACCCAAACAAAATGCAGCACTCAACAGTTTTATTCCCTAAAGCAGTACCTATGGACAATCAACATTCACTACTGAAGACCCAAACCAAGCATTTCAGGCCCATCACCAGCAATAGATACTAACAAGTTTTTTTTGAGAAGAGTGTGATTATTCTACACACAAAAATGACAAAGCCTAGATTAGTTTTAAATTGCTCCAGTATGCAAATGACATAGGACATCTTATTCCTGTATCTCACCTTTTCATGATTCTAAAAACTTTTGAAGAGACGTAAAAATCTGTACTATCAGCACAACTGCCCTAAAGTGATCAACTACCCTCAACAAAACATTACTACCCGATTCAGGTCCAGCTTTACATGCTGCACAGACATGCCACAGATAAAAGCTCTACTTCTTAACAAAAAAACAACAGCAACTTACTCATCCATTTGGACTTGCCAATACGCTTGCCGGGTGACATTCAAGTAGAAGAACTCTCCAGTGTAATATTTGGGATCAGTGCCACCCAACAGAAGCTCACCCCCAGGTTGAGTGTCTGGATTCCTAGAAAATGGGGGGAAAAAAAAAGTGCATCTACATCATCTTGAACAAATGATATAACATCAGACTAAGCTGTCTGGTTTGTAAGCTTTCTACTTCTCATTTGGATACTGACTTCTTTACAAGATTAACTGACTAAACAACTGTGGAGCATGTGGAGAGAACACGGAACTAGCCAGTTTATTCTGGCATACTGACATTGGCAAAATGGTTACAACAGGCTCCTACAACATAGGGGAGAATGGCAAAATACTTGGAATCAGTTTGACTTCTACCCCTTACCTGTTCAAGTAGAAAGAAAACACATTCTTTTGCACCAGTTTCTGCCTCATGATATTGTCAAACACCGGATCAACACCATCAACTGATATTTGTGGGTAGGCCATGCCAAGAATTCCATCAAATTTGGCAGCAATAAAGGCTGCACCAGGCTGTTTGATGGCCTCACCAAACAACTGGTTCTGAATTTTAATATCACCAATCTGTAGGACAAAGACAGCAGACCACATTTAAAACAAAAACGTCATATTCACAGAATCCCTACAGCATGGAAACAAGCCCTTCGGCTCAACAAGTCCACACTGACCCTCAGAGCATCCCACACAGACCCATCCCCTTATAACCCACCTGAGCTACACATCCCTGAACACTATGGGCAATTTAGCATGGCCAGTCCACCTTGCCTGCACATCTTTGGACTGTGGGAGGAAACCGGAGCACCGGGAGGAAACCCACGCAGACACAGGGAGAATGTACAAACTCCACACAGTCGCCCGAGGGTGGAATTGAACCCGGGTCCCTGGCACTGTTAGGCAGCAGTGCTAACCACTGAGCCACCGTGCCGCCCTTCAGCATTTAGCTGAACCCCTTCCTCTTGTTCAACACTCCATTTACTGAAACACCATTTCCCAAACTTAGTTAGAACCTCCAGTTACAGCTACACCTAAAAAAGTCACTAGAATTGTTATCTTCAAAAAAGTTGAATAAAGTAGTTTCTCTCATGCTCAGGTCCAGGGAGTGAAAATTACCAGCTAAGAAAGGGAAAAATCTGAAGTGGATGAATTTGTAGGATTATTGGTTGGAAGTCAAGTCGAGACACTAAATTCGGACAGGTCTTAGAAGCAATAAAAGGCACAACACACGCAAATGAGTGAGTTTGAGTTCCGAGGAAGGGTCACTGGACTCAAAAACACATTAACTCAGATATCTCTCTCTAGATGCTGCCAAACCTGCTGAGCTTTTCCAGCAACTTCTGTTTTTGATTTTCAGCATCCGCAGAGTTTTTTTTTGGAAAAAAAAAAGAAAAAACACCCAAATGGTCACCTTCTGGGCTGCAAGATTCTATGGCCCATAAAAGAAATGGACCGTCTCACTTTCCAGGTCTTACTCAAAAGCATTCGTCAATTACAATTTAGCTTACCTATTTTATATTGAAAAACAGTACGAACAGATCGAGGAGGGGGGTAAAGAAAAACAAAAGTCAGATGAAACAAGCTTTTATGCAAGTCAGGGTAATATTAAAAATAAAGGGTTTTGTTTAAATTTCACACCCATCACCCAGAATATGACGACTCAGAACACCCAGGGAATTTTGCAACACTTGGAGTCGCCATGAATCTCAGACTTCATCTTAAGCCAATACAATACTTCAAATGCTGTACGATAAGGCCACATTGTATTAGAAATTGAATTGGGAGGCCACATGCTTAGAAAGAAGAAAAAGAGGAAAGAGGAAAGAGGGGATTGTTTAAGAGAAAGGACACAGTCAAAAAAAACACAAACTCCTTACCCAAGGGCAAGGTACACGAAACTCTCGTCGCTCTTGTCACAGGAATCATTATTCAGCTTTGAACTGATGCAATGAGCATTAAGCATCAGCAGATACTCAAATCAAACTGAATGGGAATATTCAATGCTCAGCTGTTTTTACAGAAGCAACAGCAAAACAGCAAAATTAAGTTGCAATTATGGAAATAAAAATCAAGTTGTTTAAGATGGTACTTTTAGCAACGTCCAGAAAATATAGAAAAGTAGAGGCTAACGGGAGGGAAAAACCAAGGGCAATGGAGTTGCTATTCTAAAAAAAATGGTAGTGTTAACTTGTCTATTAGGAGACAAAACACATCCATGAAATCCTCAGGCCAATTTAGCACTGCCTCAGCATACCTACCACCTCAGATAAAGTTAACATTGGGGAAAACAAAACTATATTGGACATCTCCTGATATTGCTCAAAGTAAATTAAAAAAGAAAAATGGTTTATGTGGGATAAAAACATAGTACCATGCAACACATAATATCTTATTCTTTGTAAGGGCCACTTATAACACAATCCAAGGCTACTGTATCTAATTGGTGTGAATGTTGAGTTTAATTAGTCTTGGGGACAATGCAACCAAAAATCATGAAACAGTTCACTGATGCCACCCAGGATTGGTCATTTTTAAAACAGGCAAGAGAGATCACAAATTGTTAAGCATGAAACAAAACAAAAACAAAACTAAGACTATGGCATACTTTATTTCCCTAAAATGGGAATGGCTGTCTCTCTAATGCATATAGTTCATCAGCTGAAGTTTACTTGCATGTCTGAAAACAGGATTTGAAATAAGAGCTCCTTCTTCAAAGGTCACTTGTATCTGTAGGACAGAGAACTTTGCACAGGACTGCAGTGCTTCACAATAGATCACAACCACTGACCATCACATAAGATTACCAAATCGACAAAAGTATTAAGAATTCAAAAACCCAAAATATTTTATTTGAAAGGGAAAGGACAGAGCCCAAAAAAAAAAAAAAAATTGACTGTGGATGTAAATCCAGTGGCTGCCTGGAGAGGAACTCTAATGTTATACTTAACCAGTGTTTAAAAGAAGTGCAGAGAGACAGAAACTTACTATATATGAAGCTGCAATCTCCTGAGTATCACACAATGAAAATAACAGGAAGACATGACAGCAGTCTGAGGAAGGGGCGTGGGTGCATTTTCCACTTTCAAGAATACACAGGGATGGAGATTAAAACAGTTACAATTCTGGCGTGGGTGTGACGTGGGTGGAGGTACTTGTGTACACTAGTCTGGGTTCAAGAATCTGTGCACCATGAAGGCCTTAGGGGTAAAACCATCCTCTAGTCCTCATTGTATTGTGGATTAAGAAAAAACTCCCTCAGATTGCTAGAAACAAGTTAACAAGTGAGTTCAGCGGTAACTGGATTGAAAAAAGTTCAGACATTCTGGGTTTTGCAGATTGGCTGAATTGAATGGTCAACTGGAAACATTTTAACATCAACTATTGGTCATGAGTCACACAGACATGACTAACCAAATCACGAACAAAAACAAAGTTGCTGGAAAAGCTCAGCAGGTCTGGCAGCATCGGAGGAGGAGAAGACAGTTAACGTTTCGGGTCCAGTGACCCTTCATCAGAACTGAGCAACTCAGTTCTGAGGAAGGGTCACCGGACCTGAAACGTTAACTGTGTTTTCTCCTCCTCAGATGCTGCCAGACCTGCTGAGCTTTTCCAGCAACTTTGTTTTTGTTCGTGATTTATAGCATCCGCAGTTCTTTTGGTTTTTACTAATCAAATCACATTTGTCAACTCAAAAACAAAAAAGGCCTGGTTAAATTGGGTCCTTTTCAAAGCAAAAATTAAATTCCATTTGAGAGAGCAAGTGCGGTGTCCACAACGCAAGGGATCCTTTTCAAGTTGACCCTGCAGCAATGAAGGGTGAATAACCAAGAGGAACCAGCTCATTCTTCCTCATCTGGGAAGATAATAATTTGAGGTATTCTAATTGAAGCTTTAATGATTTGGGGAAACTTTGCCTATGGACTGGTTGTGACAAATACCTTATCCGAAAAAGGAGTCATTAAAAATTATTGGCCAACTCTGTCTTCCCCAACAGGAATGATAAAAAAAAGTTTGTACGTACTGTAATGGTGTCCTGGCTAAGGTATCCGGATAGGCTGCCAGTACCATACTGAATAGCAAATTGGGTCCCATTCTTCGCGTACGTGCTAGACTTGTCAGAATTATACTTATGATGCACCACTTTAAAGAAATGATAAAAGGGATTAATTGAAACTCAATACATTTAGCTCTCAAACTACAGATGCTGGTGAAAAGATTGCTGATAGATTTTAATGATTGTTTCTTCCTCATTCTGAAGCTGCACTCTCACATGCCGTCCAAAATAAGATAAAAACTTCATTATCTTCCTTCCCTCCTCATTTTTTGGCCAGACTTGAAAGAACGAGCACGTGTCCCTTCTTCAAACAGGCTTTTCAGAAAGAAGGTGGGCATTCCTCAATTACAGCTTCTGCAATAAGTTTGCTTCACTTCCCTTTAATTCTGGTGGTGGTGAAATATGGGCATTATTGCCGCTTTAAAAAAATCTTCAAATAACTTCCTACTTATAGCTCTTTCGAGGCAAGTGACCAGGAATATTGAAACAATTTTGAGGCATAAATAATTATCAAAATTAAGTAGAGGTATAATTGTATGTATTGACATTTGTTCTAAGAGAGTGTGTTTTCCGTCCTGCTTGATCGCAGATTTCTAGTCATGAAAAGATGTCCTAATGCTGACAATAGAACAAAAAAAAAAGGGACTCCAAGCCACCAGTTTATGAAAAGAAAAGTTTAATTACACCAAGTTACATGGTATGCTCTTTAAATTAATAAGTATCAATTCTTTATTTTTTGCCAAATGGGGTGTTCTGAATAAAAAGCACTTTCAGACTTTTCTCCACACCTTCAATTCAGATCAGTCTATTATCAAATCCAACTTTCCGTCTTAACTGCCATTGGAGCTATTAGGGATGGGCAATAAATGCTGGCCTGACCAGCAATGTGCACATCCTGGAATGAACTATGGTCTCTCCCCACACAAATACAGGATTGGGTACGTTGCGTGATACTGGAGAATAATCCTCCTCCTCTTGTATTTCGGAGCACCCACTTTGATCCTAGTATGAAACTTGCCCAGTTTCAACAACAGTTACTCTGATAATCTTTAGTTTAAAAATTTAAGAGCATTTGTGACTGCTAGGAGCTGGCACAAATACCCTAGGAGGAAAAAAGACAAACTGCACCCCCAAACTCAAATTCCTAATTCAGCTTGTAACCCAAATTGCTGATTAACCCAATAACTAACACCTCAATCCAACTCCAAAAAGTTTTATACTTAAAGACGCAAAAAAAAAGTAGCATGTTCTGTACATATTACATTGTACAACTCCAAAGTTATCAGCCAAGAGGCTAGGCATGTAAGAGACCTGGTAGTGCACGGCAAAAGGGTGACCTAGGGGAAATGGAAATAAATAAACTTACAGCATGCAATGTCAGTTATAGAACAATGAATTGAAGGAACCCAGAGGTTGGAGGAGCCAGTGTCAAAAACCACAGTGAAGATTTGAGGTGGTGTTCCAATACCAATCTCTCCATAGTACTGTGCCTAAAAAAAAAGAAAAAAAGCAATTTTTAAAAAAAGGTATAGCAACTGTATGGAACATTTGCGATATCTACATTTTATAAGGGCATACATCTTAAAACATTTTTCAGTATTTTATAAATTAAGCCACAGTATAATAATAAAAAAGTCTCAAGCACCTTTCTATTGACTGTGACATGTCAAGGTTATCTGAGATCTAATTACACGGGTGGAATCTGCTAGTGATTTATCCGAGTGACTGCTGATAGCCAAGTCATTGGGAACAATCTCTCATCTGTTCTCTTTTACCTCCATGTCATTTCCATTTTCCCTCATTTCAAAAATTTCCAAAGGCCAACCGGAACACCTTTCTTAAATGGCACAGGATTTGTTTTGCTTCAAATGTTTCAGTTCCATATTTGCTAGTGCAAATGTTAACTGAGCCATTAGTGAAGCCATAAAAGCTCCTCCATAATTTGCTGATAAAGAAGGAATTCTTAATCACCTTGTGCTTACTGCTGCTTTCTTCTGAAACCTTCTTTTGCTACGCATTATTCATTACCATTTATTGAATATTGTGTCTTAGGGTGGAGTAGTGATTGAGGTGAAGTATAAAGGAGAATAGGAAGAAAAGGTCAGCCCGCATCTTGCCAAAACCTTAATTTGTGTTCCCTTGTCCTTCTACTATCAGCCAATAGAGAAGTTTTTTTTTCCTCTTTTACACTTCTGTTCCATGGAGACAGCCCTAGCTCTTCCACCCAATCTTGCAACTGAAAGCCAAGTAATACTCCACTTGTGGCCTAATTAGAGCGTTAAAAAAGCTCAGCATAATATCCTTGCTTTCGTACACAATGTTTCTATTAACATAACCCAAGATTCCATTTCCATTCACTTTAAAGATTGCGTATACACTCCCATGTCCCTAGGCACTCGTTACAAGTGTGCCATTCAGAGTAGGTCGTCTCTCTCCATCCCTTCACATTTCTATATTAATGCTTTAATATCCAGCAGGATGATAACTGATGTTGCACTAAACATATCCTGATAAAAAAGATTTCAATGTGAGAGAGAATTAATTAGCCCAGTTGGATCTGCAGTGAGGATACTATAATTGGATATGGCCACCCCAGGACCAGAAAGACAACATGTAGTGACTGACAAGTCTTCCACTTATTTAAATAAAAATAGGGAGACCAAATGGAAAGTAGGCTCAATTGACTATTCATCTAAAATATGCAAAAGAACAAGTGCCTGTTAACTGGGTACAGTTTAATATAGTTAGTAACAAAAGCAGCAGGGTAAGACTGGATGACAGCAAATTTGGCAAGATGGGTTTTGTTCCTACCAAGGCTGTCTCATCTTAGAGATTTGGGAGGAAAATGAAAACCCAGTTAGCAACCAGCAACTTCAGAAAAGCAAGAATCTTGTCACTATCTTCAAGAAGGGTAATTAATCCACTCGGTGGAAAAACCGTGTTTCCACGTGGTCCATAACATGCATTCTCTGAATCTGTGATGAGGAAATCTTCCCACAGAAGAAATGGATCTTCTAGGAGGTTTTTGACATTTTTTCACCTATTTGTCTGATGAGAACACCATATCACATTTAGCTTAATCAAAGCATTTAACTTGGTAAATTGAGGGGCCTTGGGGATTGTGCTCCAAATATTCAGATGGCTGAGAAACTGAATTGCAATCCTGCAACTGCTCTGTATGACAACCGATGAGTGGGAGATTTGAAACAGGTATGTTGAGAATCTAGATCAGTGTCAATACAACATGATAGTCCTCATGCTATTTGCAATCTACACTGACAGTAGTTATTCACTTCAAAAAGAGTGAAACTGCCCTTCACTATCGCTATTAAGTGCTGCAGATGGAAAACTCTAACCTTGGTCTCCCCCATGCCAAAACTATACTGACCAACATGGGAAAATAGGAGGCAGTGTTGGGCGGGGGGAAAGAGGAAGGTCAGGAGAATAACTATATATAGTGTCATTTACTATTGCACCAAATTTACAAACTACTTGCGCAGACTCTTCAATTCTGCATTCAAGTGACTTAGCCTATTCTCGTTTCAACCCAGACTGTCAGTTGCACATTCCACCGCGCATATGTTGGGACACAAACATGCTGAGCACTTCCCATACTTTGGCAGCCACCTCTTTCAAAACGTCACCATGGATGAGTTCAGCTTAGCCTTCTGCAAACTGCAGTCGAGAATGGTTTGATGTCTTATGACCTCCACAAGATGCACAGAGTAGAGGCAGAGACAGTAAATCATAAGCCCCTGTTCCCAACCCTACACCAGCAATCAGAGCATTACCAACTGCCTACAGTCCCAAACGCCGATTATTGTTGTAGTGATATACCCCTCTGACACAGGATCTGGTGCAGATCAGCTGTCATCATCACCACAATGCTGCACCGTAGAGAGATCTGTGAAACAGTCTCATACAAGAGCAATTCTATCAAGAATACCTCTGCCACATCCATCAGATTCTGTGGGACAACCACTGAACAAATGCTAATGTTCATCTTGAAGCCAGCTCCAGTCAAAATACTTGCAAAGAATAAAAAGGAGCTACTATGAATGGACACTCGATGGCCAAAAAGCATCTCCCGCATTGACTGATGTATTTACCCTCAAAAACAGTCCATGGTCCAAATGTTACAAAGATAGCTTGTCCATCAAGCTGCATCTTGCTGCAAGTCCAAGCCCCTCAAATGAGGGGGAAAAAGGAGAGAGAACAGTGGCAGACAAGGGAGGAAGCAAATCCTGAACCTGGAAAGCCCACTGCCATGTGGGATACCCTATCGTGTTCCTAGAAATTGGCAGGTCAAGAATTGGCCCGTTAGTCACAAGCTGACCCACAGCAGAAACTTGCAGCAGAGTAGATGATGCTCTTGCATGCAGGCACAACCAAAGTGGAGAGAGCGAGAGAGCGAGAGAGCGAGAGAGCGAGAGAGCGAGAGAG